AAACTGCACACATGTACCATATGTTTTCATCTATAGGTAAAGGTAAAGGTTCCCCTTGACAAATGTCCAGTTGTGTCCAGCAGTGCTCATCCCCATTTCCAAGCTGTATAACCAGTGTTTGTCTATAGACTGTTTCCGTGGTCATGTGGCCAGCGCAACTAGACACGGAACACCATTACCTTCCCACTGAGCTGGCACCTATTTATCTACTCGCATTTACGTGCTTTCAAACTGCTAAGTTGGCAGGAGCTGGGAGAAGTGATGGGAGCTCAGTCCATTGCATGGATTCGATCTTACGACTGCTGGTCTTCCAACCTTGCAGCACAGAGGCTTCTGCAGTTTAACCTGCAGGGCCACCACGTCCCTTTTCATGCATATGACCTGCGCCAGTGTATAAGATGACTCCCAATTTTGATCCTTGCCAAAGGCAGAGGAGCAGTCAATGGACCGCCACAAGGGGCGGCCTAGCTTGGCTGCTCCTCCACCTCCTTCTCCTGCTGCTGCTGCCTGATTGGCTCCTCCAGCACCAGTGCCAGGGCTCAACCACAGCTCATGTCGCCACTTTGTCCCCTGCCCAAAGGGAGCCCATGAGCTGCTGCCGCCATCAAATCGCCTTTTATCTCTGTGTCATTCTGTCACTCTTAAAACCTACCCTCAAGTCTGCATTCCATAAAATAGGCTTTTGCTATTCCTGTACTGACAATGGGCTGGACTAGATGACCTTTAGGACCATTTCCAATTCTATTGGTCTCTGTTTCCATCTTTGTTGCAACAAACAATAGATTTGAATATGTGGCTTTGTAACTTTTATTTCTCCCCTTGTCTGCAACTATTTGCATGTGGTTATTTTTCAGATCACCTTCATGGATTGCTGCCTTGTCATGGCGAAGGGGCTTGAGTAACTCAGAGAAGCTATGGGCTATGTCGTGCAGGGACACGGAAGACGGAGAAGTCATAGTGGAGAGTTCCGACTAAACGCAATCCACCTGGAGTAGGAAATGGCAATGCCACTCCAGTATCTTTGACAAGAACGCCCCATGATCAGAAACGAAAGGCTAAAGATATGATGCTGGAAGATGGACCCCTCAGGTCGAAAGGCACCCAACATGCTACTGAGGAAGAGCGGAGGATAAGTACAAGTAGCTCCAGAGCTAATGAAGTGATTGGGCCAAAGCCGAAAGGACACTGAGTTGTGGACGTGCCTGGAAGTGAAAGGAAAGTCTAATCCTGCAAAGAAAAATACTGCATAGGAACCTGGAATGTAAGATCTATGAACGTTGGTAAGCTGGAGGTGGTCAAGCAGGAGATGGCAAGAATAAACATCGACATCCTGGGCATCAGTGAACGAAAATGGACAGGAATGGGTGAATTCAACTCAGATGATTATCATATCCACTATTGTGGGCAAGAATCCCATAAAAGGAACGGAGTAGCCCTCATAGTCAACAAAAGAGAAAAGCTGTAATGGGATATAATCTCAAAAAATGATAGAATGATGTCAATACGAATCCAAGGCAGACCTTTCAACATCACAATAATCCAAGTTTATGCACCAACCACCATTGCTGAGGAGACTGAAATTGAACAATTTTATGAAGATTTACAACACCTTCTAGAACTGACACCAAAGAAAGATGTTCTTCTCATTCTAGGGGACTGGAATGCTAAAGTAGGGAGTCAAGAGATAAAAGGAACAACAGG